GGCTCCTGCAGGAAGGGAGTCTGGGGCATGTTCTAGCTGCTTGGCCCGTTATCCCTGGGCCACTCCTCCCACCTACGGTTTGTGCTCTGCAACAGCATTTCCCCCAAGCAGCAGCTTCAGCATCAGTTAGTGCTCAGATAACAGCCGCAGAGCCAGGGCAAGCCTGAAAGAGGTTGTATGCCAGCATCCTGCCAAAACTGTACATGCTCTGGGAATTCAGATCTCCATCTGCCTGCAGGACGGCCGGGCAGCGCTCTGGAGGCTATCAGCAGGACATGCCTGGTGGATTTAGATGCTGGAAGAGGACGGTGCTTGCATGAGTCCCTGTCAAGCCCTGCGGCCCTAGGCTGGCCCCAGGGCTGGTGCCCACACCGTGCCCCTCTGGGTGACCCTGCCAGGATGCCAGGAGCAGCCAGGGAGGACCTGCCATCCTTCTTGGAGTGAGGGGCCCAAAACTGAACCCAGGATTCGAGCTGTGGCCTCATGGTGCCAAGTACAAGGGGCAATCCCTTCCCTGGTCCTTCTGGCCAGGCTATTTCTGTTACAAGCAAGGATGTCATTTGACTTCTTGGCCACCTGACCACAGCACTGGCTCCTATTTTACTCCTTGTTTCCCGTTCCCTGGGCTTTGGCAACACTGTATCATTACATCTTCTGTGTCTGTGAATCTTTTCACTGCTCTGAGTGGTCTCTGTGGGAGGCATCAACAGGAACAAAGTCTTACTCTGCTCATGGAAATCACAGCCCCTTGCTCATGGCACTGGGATCATGGCAGGACACTTCACCTGACATAGCTATTAAAGTTCATGGGTCAAAGGGTCTACTTTCAATATCAAAGATATCCATATAAAATAAATCCAATCAATGCTGTTCCTGCTCACTGCAAGGAGGTGTCAGACTAAATGCCCTTTAAAGGTCCCTTCCAAGATGAAACATTCTGTGATTCTATGATAAACAATATTTTATCACCCTAAGTGGCCTGCAAATATTAATAACAACAGTGGGAACATGGAAAAGGTCTCCAAAGGCAATGGCTGCCCACCTTGTTGCCCATCTTTCTGCTGTCATGGGATGCAGGGCACCATGTCTGGGCTTTGGCAGGGGGAAAAAAAATTAAATAAATTGTTCTTTATTTTTGTATATATTGGGCGAAATCAGCTCACCCACCACTGAAGCCTATTTCCTGCTGTTGGGTACGTCGAAGCTATTATTATTTTTCCATAGGCCTCTCTGATTCTAGTTACTTTGTGCTGATGTAATGTGAACATATCGAGTCTGCATCTCCTTTAACATCTGCTACATGCTGGGTCTATTGCATACATTAGTACCCAAACACATCATTTTTTTCACCCCCACAGATATATCCTGCCGTTATTTACCTCTTTATTTCATATTCTCCTTTTTTTGGGGGGTACATGATAAAGGCATTTTCTGATGGGGGGTGTAGCCCGGAAGAATAAGTGGACAGAAACAATAGATACACAAGGACACTTAGAAATAACTTTTACTAGGGGTGAAGTGTTGTGGGGCTTGTTGGTCTTTTTTTAATTGAAGTCAAGAAGAGTTTTGCTGCATTAGAGTCAATAAGACAATGATGGTTCAGAAAAATTCTCTCTCTGTATCCTCACAGAGAAATAGTCAAAGTGGTGCTGCTCCAGCAACAGCCATGGAGCTCTTGCGCTTAGAAATCTGTTTCTTTTTTATTTATTTGCCAAACATTGAAAATCTCCGCGTGGGGGAGGTTTCTCATAAACTGATTTTATTTGGAAGAGAGCAGCAAAAACATTTTTTGAGCAATGCAGGGAGAACCGTTTATTGAAAAGTGAAAGGGGGAGAATATGTATCTATAGATCTATATCTCTAGCTACATAAAAATATATGAAATTTTGGCTGTTAATGCTTTGTAAGACTTATGGTGTTGTTGCCCTCATGAGCTTGCAGGTGCTTGCCCTGGCCCCAGGCTTTGCAAAGATTACTCCTCTTTTCAAATTAAACTTCTGCCTTGATGAACCAGGCATCCATTATCAGGCTGTTCAGGACCTTTTACATTTCCAGAGAAAAATGACCAAAACCGGTTATTTCGCAGAAGATTCTAGCTGGAAGAAAAAAACCCCTTGGTATGCCAGGTCCCCAAATGAAGGTACCTGGCAGCTCCTGGCACAGCAGAGCTGCCATCTCAGTGAGTTAACCCTGCCAAAGAGCAGAGAAATGTTGATCTATGGCTTTTAAAAAGGATAATCTGGATCATTTCTGTTCATTGTGAACAATAACCAGCTGTGTTTCCTGTCTGCCAACTGCATTACACCTGGCTTCTTCACCTGTGAAAGACATGAAATTATGAAAGAATCACCATTTTTTTAGAAGTTTTGCCTGAGATGGGCTTCTCCTCCGTGTACTCCAACTGTTTTTTCTCCATTAAACTTTCAAGAATCAACACTCATAGTGTAAACACTCCATTTAAATTTCACAGAAATACACCCTCGGTGTGACAACCCCCCCCCCCCCCCACACCC